CAGAGTTTACGGAAACAACAAACACAAGTAAATAAATAGCAGAGTTTACGGAAACAACAAACACAAGTAAATAAGTAGCAGAGTTTACGGAAACAACAAATACAAGTAAATAAGTAGCAGAGTTTACGGAAACAACAGATACAAGTAAATAAATAGCAGAGTTTACGGAAACAACAAACACAAGTAAATAAATAGCAGAGTTTACGGAAACAACAAACACAAGTAAATAAATAGCAGAGTTTACGGAAACAACAAACACAAGTAAATAAATAGCAGAGTTTAATAAATAGCAGAGTTTACGGAAACAACAAACACAAGTAAACAAATAGCAGAGTTTACGGAAACAACAAACACGAGTAAATAAATAGTAAAGTTGATAAATATAGTTTTTAAGTCACAAATTACTCCATTAGGTCCGTTTATTTCACAGAGTTCAGCTATCGAATCTGTTTGCATCAATGTCTAGGCAATCGGACTTTTTTATATCGTCTTCCAGTCATCGGTTTAAAAGAATATCAGTTCCCAGTCCTCTATTATATTTCACTTGCCGGAGTAGTGGATCTATCTGTGCTACCAGGCCTGCTTATGCTGGTGACGATGATACTGGACTATCTATATCGCCATCAAACCATCGGGTATCCTTATGGTATCGGTAAACGCATCGTATCTGTTTTATAACACCTATCAGGCCATTCTTATATCAATAATCAGTCTACTATGTATGCTTTTGTCACAGATAGGTTCATTGCGCCATTTGTGTTGCTGACCGAGTAGCATGTTACATATATATCACTGACCAAGATATCCTATAAGCTTGCGTCACAGATAAACTTTACACGTTCGTTGAAATTGTCAACAAACTTTTTCATTTTATTTCGTTCGATGTTTGAAGTTCTTTACACTTGTTTAGAGGTGTTTTACTTTCAGTCCCTTTCTTGATCTCAAAACTTGAATTTTGTTTTTCATCCCCATTACCTGAAATTCGGTTATGAGCCAAAATTAAAATAAAATTTTCTCTTATTTCTCATCGTTAGCTTACGTGCACTTGGGCTATACAGCCAGATCAGCGATTCTTAGGGTTCATGTATAGTTAACCTTAATTTTAAACTACTGACCAGAAGAAAGACAGCCAATAAGCAGAACCTCCCAACATCAAAGCTTTACCCGACTCATTGAATCGACTAACGGAATTAACCATCACTTGAGGTTTGAGGAGTGATTAAAGTAAATCTCTAATCCTTCGAATTGTCACACTTTGTATGTAGTTTTGGTTTCCTTTTTATAAAATGATGCATTTTGACACCATATAATAAAAGAACAGTAATAAACTGACCATGTTAATAGGGTAAGTAGGGCTTGTAAGGTAATTTACTTATTATTGTTATCTTTTCTACACGTACCATCATCTCATCGATTGTTTTATAGAAGAAAGATATTCGTAAAAGTTGCTTTGATAATTTTTAAGTTTAAAAGCAAATATTTAACAGTTTACTATTCACGTATGTTTGTGTAAAGATCTATTCAGTTTCATTATATTTTTTTTATTGGATAGCTTAGAATTGTTATATTCAGAGAACCAACAAACAAAGACATAGAAACTTGTAATAAAAATCACGTTAACTATATGTTTTTGGGGGGGAAAAGATATATGTAGTTAACGTGATTTTTTTTTTTTACTACATTTTATGGCTATTGTCTTCTGAAACCTTCTGAATTTAAACTGCAACTTTTAAAGTATCATACTGCATATATAAATAGCGTTTCAGATATTATTTTGTCTTTCGTAGCTACTCCGGTGGGTCAACGGCACGTCTACGGACTCGCAACATTAAAATCTGGAGTTCGATTCCCCGCACTGGACAGAGCGCAGATAGCCCATCGTGTAGCTTTGCGCTAAAACAGTCTCAACCTCATGTCCCCCAGTGGGTCAGCTGTAAGTTTACGGGCTTACAACGCTACAATCCTGGCTTTAATTCCTCGTAATGGACTGAATGGAGATAGCCTATTATGTAGCTTTGTGCTAACAAAAACAAATTCTCATCGTTCAGCCCAATTGAACGAGAAGCCGTTTCTTCAGTCTTTAGATAAAGGTCGTAATTCTCTCTCTCTGCGCATAAGCAAAGGTTCACTTCGCTATATCATTATTTCGGATCACAGTGTATTTAACTATTGATCCGGCAATAATGTATGACTCGCTCTCTACCGAGAGGTGTGTTCATTAGGCTCTTATAACTTAATGTTAAAATTAACTAAATAGAACTATAAAATTTCCAGAAAGTAAGTCTACACCAACACGATTTGAAGCCTTAATTACCCCTTTACGAAAGATGGCTGTGTGCTACGCTACAATAATTAACCGAATCTAACAGATAGGAGATGAAATGGAGAAATGCCAAAGGTTTTGGTTATAATTCCAGCTTCGACGAATTGTTATGTTCAACCTACTCAAAGTGGTTCAGGTGTGGTTATTATAACGTGCAGAACCAAACTGTCTCAAATAATAGTCGCCCGAGTTAAATATTTCTTTCCTTCAATGTTAAAATACTAGAGCGCTATTAACTTTGGTAAACATATATAATGCCAGGGGTGTAATGATAATGAATTTCTTGGGTTATGCTGATGGTTTAGAGTGATAAAAAATCACTTAACTTAGGCATCAGAGGAGGAGGGGGTGATTCAAAGAGCAGGTACTGTGTCTGAGCAAGATTAAAGTCAACGTGCTTATTATTGTGGGATCTCTTGTAACGCCCTAGACCCACGTGGGCTTTTTTTCCTTGTTAGTTGTGATAGACAATACCATGCTGATTTCTTATCTGTATTACAAAATATCAACAGGCAAGATATGATTTCTTTGTTATACAGTCGTAAAGTATTGCTCGGAGGATGTAGATTGAAAAAAAATTTCTTTTTTTTATAAAATACAATCATAGAATGATTAATCCTTTTATTTTTTATGGACGTCCTGGTTACTAAAGTTACTTTAATAAAAAGTGATACCAGGATATTTTCTGAGTTTTTTCTTTGTCTATAGGTAAATTCTAGAGGCTTTGCTGCACATATTTTACATTATTTCGGACTCGTAAATAAAAGAATTTAGTTCATAATTAATTATAAAGAAATAACATGATTAATCAATCAACATAGAATAACAAAGTTTAATTACATGAAGTACATTTACGACAACAGTTAGGAATACATAACTGAAAAAAATACACACAATAATAATAATGATAGTGACGGTAATTAAACTGCAAGGCGTTTTTTTTTTGTTACCCACGGAAACTATGACAGAAACGCACAGCATCCTCTCAATAAGCAAGAAATGTAGCTAATCTAAGTTAATGTCATTTAGAATAGCTAATCAAAGGTTTTGAGAGTTGTATGTTGGGCCCTGATGAACATCCTTCGTAGTTGTATGGGAATGTGTATGGTGGGCTCTGGTGAACATCCTTGGTGGTCATGTGAAAACATGTATGATGGGTTCCGGTGAACATTCCTGGTGGTCATGTGAAAATATGTATGATGGGTTCTGGTGAACATCCTTGGTGGTTATATGGAACATGTTTAAGTTGGACCTGACGAATATCCTCGGTGGTTGGATGGAACATATGTATGTTGAGCCTTGATTAAAGCTGGTATATTCGTCAATATTTTGTTGGCTTCCAATTGGGTTGTAGATATTTTCCATAAATCTCTACTTTAACGACTTGAGTCACAGTAAACACGTGTTCACACTGATGCTTATTCTCCACTTCAGTGGCTTGAGACACAGTAAACATATGTTCACACTGATGCTTATTCTCCACTTCAGTGGCTTGAGACACAGTAAACATGTGTTCACACTGATGCTTATTCTCCACTTTAATGGCTTGAGACACAGTAAAATTATATTTTTTTAAATATAAAATAAGATAATTAGGGAGCAATAATAGATGATGAGCTATTCAGGCTCAAAGATGTTTTCATTCCAACCAATACAAAACATTTTTACTCATTTGTATTTCTCGTATTTTCAATATTTTTCAAAGATTATTTCATTACAATACAGAAAAAAAATCACTTGCTTGGATTTCTTGCATTTTCAATATTTTTTTTCTTCCTTTCCAAAATATTATTGATATTGAAAGGACGTTTCCGCCTAAAAATATTTCTCAACATTTTATATCTGAAAGACTCCAAATACTGTCATGCCGTATTTTGTTTTTGTCGTATTCGAAATGTTCATGATAACGCAAATAAGAGTATTTCAAGAACTGGCTAATTTGGGTTTAAAGTATTTCAAGAACTGGGTCGTTCGGGTTTAAAGTATTTCAAGAACTGGGTCGTTCGGGTTTAGAGTATTTCAAGAACTGGGTCGTTCGGGTTTAGAGTATTTCAAGAATTGGGTCGTTTGGGTTTAGAGTATTTCAAGAACTGGGTCGTTTGGGTTTAGAGTATTTCAAGAACTGGGTCGTTTGGGTTTAGAGTATTTCAAGAACTATTATATGTTTCATAAGAGAAATTAATAAAAAAGTGACACAACACAAGGATGTCTTTTTCTTAAATAAAAAATAAACTTTTCTCCAACGTATTTTATGTATGCTTACCTATTACTACAGCTAAAGTACAAAGCAGTCTGTGTTACATTCGTATGTTTTTTGGACCTTTGGTAAATCAATCGTGTATAGATGATTATTCTCTTGGCTTCTAGAGGTTTCCAGAAGTCAGCACTATAAGGCGATTTACCATTCGGTGTTTTAAACTCCGAAGTTGTCCTAAGTTTCATGGAAATTCAAATTTTGCACCATTGCACACTTAGATCATGCTTTACTATTAGTAAGTAGTGTTTCAAATAATAAATCTGGAATATTAAAGGTTGCACTATGGTATTTTTAAGCAGTGATTTTTAAGGCATTCCTAGGCCATAACTTAAGTTCAAAAAAAATATGGCTTCAAAGTGTCCAGAAGTTCGATGTCCATTTATAGCGGTTTGTTTGATTTATTTTTTTCTTTTTGTGCAGAAAATAAAAATGAAGATAACATTATCAAATCTGTTTGTTGCCCTTCTTCTGATATCAGCTTTTAGCGTCCAGGAGGGAAAGAAGAGGACGAAACGACAAGGTAGGACAATGACTTCATATAATAACAAGGAAATTTATCACACGCTGAGAATGTCAAATCGCATTTGTCTATAAAATTAAAACTTATGCCCAGATGTATTTAAGTTTTCCTTGTTAGTAGTTAGAATAATTAATTTTTTGTACTTTAATAGTAATATTAAAAAAACGAACTTTTCTTGTGTTATTACATTATTTATTTATCACATGCATGTTAATTTAAGTAGCCTTAAACACTGGACTCATTTTCGATGACGAAGAACCCACTTTGAGATTAATAATGGCTGGAGACGGCTTGAATGGGTAATGAAGAAAAACTTTAATATAAGTTTAACATAACTGGTACTTGATGATGACAAAAACCTTGTCGAAACGTTGTACATTTGCTGTTATGTTAAACTTATATTAAAGTTTTTTTTCATTACCCATTCAAGCCGTCTCCACCCATTACTGGACTCATTTGTTGAAGTATGATATTTCCTGGGTATTTGAATGATATCAATCGACTTATCCTCTGCTTTTAAATGTGTTAATTGTAGAAATATTCGCATATTTAATCACGAATGTAGACTTTTCTAAGGCAATTGAGCAAAAGAAAAATATAAGGTGGTGTTATACAATATTCAAAGTTGTTTAACAAAACCTATACTGCTTTTGCATTTAAAACTCATTTAATAAATGAAAATATTATAAGTGATAAATATGAGTGATGCATACTGTTTATTTGGATAGAAAGCATTAATTTTATATTTATTAACATATTTATTATTTTAAAGTTTATTGGAACTCAATTGTACTTTTGAATTTCATTTCCTTTTATGCCTTTTTCTCATTTCATTGTGGCTAATGTCTTTGAGCTTATAAGACAACACCTGAAATCAATAGAAATTACATCACGTGTGTGTATTTAATAAAAATTAACAAAGGCTTAATTAATTACTGACTTGATGAAAAAATATAACCTACAAAATCTTTACCCTTTATCATTTGCAATCAGCACAGAGAGATAGTAAAATTTGATAAGTAACAACTTAGGCCTAAATCTGCAGAAGTAGTATAGCGGTATGGTATAGAACTTTCTCAAGGTGTTGATGTATTCTAACGGAGCTAATGACATTACACTACATACAATGTAACACAATTTAGGTTTAGACTTAGAAAACAACCAATCATAGGCTAATGGGAGCTGACTTACAAAGCAAATTCACTTTGTCAACCTAACAAAACCTAACTAAGTTAATAACCTTAGTTTGGGTATCAAGTTTTCATTAAGCTCCTGTTTGTATTCACAATGAACAGGTTATTCGCCCAGATGTCAATTAGATGATGCTAATCCTTTTAGACTTCAGTCTGGGAGAGGTTTTTCCCGTTGCAGAACAACAAATCTTCAACGTATCAGACTGCACGTGAAACCAACCTATGGTAAAAAATGTTTTGTCCTATTTGTTAATTTTTGTTGAATAGTGTGTTAAAACGTAGGAGGGAAACTATTTTTATAATATTACAGCTAACCCCTCATTTCTACGAGAAAGGCAGAATTATGATTCCAGCAGCTCACATGAATAGCTACAGGATCCGTTCTTCTTACAATAATTAACCCTAGAATTACCACTGGGGCCCATTCATTCTTCTAACAATACATAACCATAGAATTACCACGGGGGCCCTAGATCCAAGATCCTTCCTTCTTACAATAATTAGCCCTAGAATTACCACAAAGGCCCATCCGTTCTTCTTACAATAATTAACCCCAGAATTACCACTGGGGCCCTAGATCAAAGATCCTTCCTTCTTACAATAATTAGCCCTAGAATTACCACTGGGGCCCATCCGTTCTTCTTACAATACATAACCATAGAATTACCACTGGGGCCCTAGATCAAAGATCCTTCCTTCTTACAATAATTAGCCCTAGAATTACCACTGGGGCCCATCCGTTCTTCTTACAATACATAACCATAGAATTACCACTGGGGCCCTAGATCAAAGATCCTTCCTCCTTACAATAATTAGCCCTAGAATTACCACAAAGGCCCATCCGTTCTTCTTACAATAATTAACCCCAGAATTACCACTGGGGCCCTAGAACAAAGATCCTTCCTTCTTACAATAATTAACCCCAGAATTACCACTGGGGCCCTAGATCAAAGATCCTTCCTTCTTACAATAATTAACCCCAGAATTACCACTGGGGCCCTAGATCAAAGATCCTTCCTTCTTACAATAATTAACCCCAGAATTACCACTGGGGCTCTAGATCAAAGATCCTTCCTTCTTACTACAATTAACCCCAGAATTACCACTGGGGTCCTAGATCAAAGATCCTTCCTTCTTACAATAAATAACCCTAGATTTACCATTGGGGTCCATCCGTTTTTCTTACTAAAATTAACCCCAGAATTACCACAGGGGTCCTAGATCAAAGATCTTTCCTTCTTACAATAATTAACCCTAGAATTATCATTGGGGTCCATCCGTTCTTCTTACAATAATTAATAATTTTGTTAAACAAAAAAGCTACAAATTGGTAACAAAAGATATTTTTAGTGTCATAAGCCCTCAGACTTACCGCTGATCCATAGATATTTTTTTTAAAAATAGGATACATTTTAAATGCTGAAGAAGATACGCTTGCTAACATAAAATGATGTCTTGGTACCAAAGTTAATTAAATCTGTGTATTATAAGCGTTAATATTTAAAGAATTGTTAAAAAATATAAAGTCTGAAAGGATTAAAAAAACAACTAAGAATATGTTTACTAGATCTTAGATCACGTTTAAATTGTGTACCAACTTAGATAAATTATTGACGTTGTGTGACAGCTCAAAATTGTTAGGTTTCAGTGTTTCACGTAGCATTTACTAAAGAAAATACGTACTAACATAAAATATAAGCAAGTTAATTTAACTTACGCCCATTGAACTCGGTGATATATTTCTATGTATTAGTAAAATTTCATAGTCAATGTCACATTATCAGTGGTAGATGTCACTTCGATTACTCAAACTATACATGAGTTAAAGACGAATTTACGTTGTGGTTAAAAACGAAAATTAGTACGAAAATTCTTCCCACACAATGTAAACATATTTGTTTGTGATGTTGTTCAAAGCTGACCCTAGGTTTCCATGATGGGTTTGTTTTTATATAAAAATCTAAGTTTACTTAATATGATATCTTATAAGCCATCTTTTAGAAGGATTTCCCTATTCTAACTTCTTGCCACGTTGAAAGATATATTGTATGCTCATTAAGGATTTGTTATGATATTATTATGATTATATTATGTGACGTTAATATTGCCTGGTTTGTTGCTCTTGTTGTCACTGGAACAAAACATTACAAATACTACTTTGTTATTTGCAGGGGGGAAATACGATGCCCCACTGATTTTTCCTGGGCGTTATCGACCAACTGAGGCAAAACAATGCATCACATCCAAAGGGATTCACGGAATCTGTAAACACCGTAGCAGCTGTGTATTTGCGTTTGAGAATGTTGATGACCTACGAAAATCTACCTGTCGTCAGGACAACAATGACATCGGAACCTGTTGTCCAGTTCAAACTTTTGCAGTAATACAACCAAGTATGTTGTGCATATGTCTGTCACCTTTATTAGCGCTACTATACAAAATGATAACAATGGCAATAATACAACTAAATGCACCCAAAATAATAACAATGACAATAATACAAGCATGACACACACATATATATAACTGCCACCTTTATTGGCCCTAAATATAAAATGATACCAATGACAATAATACAACCAAGTATGTTACATATATAACTGCCACCTTTATTGGCCCTAAATATAAAATGATAACAATGACAATAATGCTACTAAATGCGTCCAAAATAATAACAATGACAATAATACTACTAAATGCGTCCAAAATAATAACAATGACAATAATACAAGCATGACACACACATATATATAACTGCCACCTTTATTGGCCCTAAATATAAAATGATAACAATGACAATAATACTACTAAATGCGTCCAAAATAATAACAATGACAATAATATTACTAAATGCGTCCAAAATAATAACAATGACAATAATACAACCAAGTATGTCACATATATAATTGCCACCTTTATTGGCCCTATTATACAAAATAATAACAATGACACTAATACAACCAAGTATGTTACATATATAACTATCACCTTTATTGGCCCTATTATATAAACAAAATGATACCAATGACAAAAATACAACCAAGTATGTCACATATATAACTGCCACCTTTATTAGCCCTAAATATGAAATGATAACAATGACAATAATACAATAACAATGACAATAATACAACCAAGTATGTTGCATATCTAATTGCCACCTTTATTGGCACTACTATACGAAATGATACCAATGACAAAAATACAACCAAATATATGTCACATATATAACTGCCACCTTTATTGGCCCTACTGTAAAAAATAATAATAATGGCAATATTCTTTTTAAGAGGTTCCCTCTGAGTTATGAAACACATATAAAGTTTTCGAAACAGTTATCTGTGGAATATTAGATTTATTTGGGTACAAATTACCATCTCTAAAGTGAACAACATTCGAATTACAAATACGTCCAGTCAAATAAACATCATTAGGACGATACTATCCCCATCTATGTTTGATAAAGTAAATAATAGAAACACAATGGTGCTCCTGATGTATTATTTTTATTAGATTATATTATTTTCATTTTTAAATTCTAATGCTTACATATTTTTCTTCCTTTGATTTTTTTCCCTGCGTTCATTTTTTTTATTTTAAAATTTATCTTTTATTGCTTTTCAATCATATGTATATTTATGTTTGATCTTCGTTTTTTGTATGCTCCATGCATCTAATCTTTGTCTTCGTACCTGTTTCTCTTGTACAGAAATTTTCCCTATTTTTTCTACACACTGGGTCATTACCAAATTTTCGTTATTATATAATTTCGGTAGAAAATATTTCATATCTGATAAATGTATTTTTACATTTTTTGTTTTTATATTTGTCTATTTTCTTCAAATACAAGAGAAAGAAACCATTGAAATCGCAATAAATATAAAATGGAACATTAAGAGGGTGTACGATAACTGTACTGAGATCATCCACCAATGAAAATGTGGAAAAAGAAATTCAAAACAGAAAAGAATGCTTCAAAACTAAAACTGCGTAGCCTCCAATCATAACTGGTAACACAATCAATAAAAAAATGAACCAAGACAAAATGGACAAAAACAATACCATTTGTAGGTGCTATCAGTGAAAAATGGACTTAAGTTTATGGCACAAATTATACGTTAAAACTAAAGTATTAACTAATCCGGGAAACATTACCAAGTCTTCTTCCGAAATTATATAACAATGAACAATATCGTACTGGCATACTATATGAAATAAAATGTTTAGACTGCGAAGGCTTCTATTTAGGAGAAACAGTTGAGAAAATAACAACTAGATGCAAAGAACATGAAAAGTGACAAACATAGATAAACATGTAATTTGAAATATATATCAAAAACGTAGAAGTGTTGAATGTAGAAAAACAAAAACAAACAAAAGAAAATACTTGAAAGCTCTAAGAACCAAAGAGTTTGAACGCAACATAAATAAAACACCAGGGGGCGCCGTAATATTTGTATTATGTTATTCATATTAAAAAACACAGAGGGAGCTATTATTATTCTGAATGTATTTGTACTTTCAACGTTGTACGGGATCATGTCTCACGGTTTAGACGAAACGTTCTGCCCAGGTAAATCTGTTATACCACTAATGGCTGTTTCATACGTAGTGTGTGTGTGTGTGTGTATATATAAGAAAACATCTAAGTTATTCCTATTTTTATGTCTTGTACAGTGCAGGATCAACCAACCTTTAATTTCCTATTGTTACACAATAATTAGGGAAGAGAAATGGAAGGTAGTATTATATTGTCTTGTATGCTAGTAGCAAAGTTGGCATGAGGGTAAACACTTTTTTTTTGTCCTGGAAGTCACCTCCTTATCCATTGTGGTATCATTTTCTGAATCTTTTTGTTTGCTTTTTTTGCCCTTTTACAGTAGTTGAAGGGGTAGGTTTGCTTTGTGTCGTGAGTGTAAAAGAGAAAGGTTGTACTGGAAAGGAGTCCTTATTAAAATTATTTTGTCATCCAGTGCATCATTTATTGCACTACTTGTACAGTAAAATTAGATCTTCGATCTCTTCTACTTACACTGGGCAACAATTGTTTTTTTTTATCTCTTCTACTTACACTGGGCAACAATAGTTTTTTTTTATCTCTTCTACTTACACTGGGCAACAATTGTTTTTTTTTATCTCTTCTACTTACACTGGGCAACAATAGTTTTTTTATCTCTTCTACTTACACTGGGCAACAATAGTTTTTTTATCTCTTCTACTTACACTGGGCAACCATAGTTTTTTATCTCCTCTGCTTACACCGGGCAACAACAATTTTTTTTCTGCTACTAGAAAAATGAAACTGTTTCTGGGTAATTTGACGATTTTGATTCTGAAAATCATATTGAAAATTACTGATCGCATCTAGTTTTTGAGTTATGATAGATTTATTCAAAATATTCTTATATATCGTGAAAATAACTTTTTCTTTAATAACTTTATTTATTCATTGAAAATTTCATATAATAATGTTCAAAAACAATACATAATAGCAATACCAGTTTAAAAATCAATGAGTATAATGAGATTATATACTGAAAGTACATTCGGGCTATGTTCAAAACTTTAATCATGGTATTATTATTGTTTGTTTGTTTTTGTTAGAAAATAACTGTTTGACTTGTTGCATATTTTGTGTATGTTCTCAGTTTCACGCTGTAAAAACCGATAGTAACCTCCCATCATCGCAGGATTCCATCATCTTTGCTATCGCTGTTCAATTGTAGAAATATCTTGGTGTAAGTGCTCACCATGCTCATCGCTCAATGCACCTAGATCATTTGGAAAGAAGACTAAATGGGAGTGTTAGAAGGGTATCTTTAGTGACATCCTAGACCCCATTTTCCTGTAGTTCTGGAGTATATCATCAGTCATCACCCATGAGGTACTGTTTTCATTGCAGATACAATTTATGGATATTCAATGTAGTGTGCCTACCAATGGCACAGCGGTATGTCTGCGGACTTACAATGCTAGAATCTGGGTTTCGATACCCGTGGTGGGCAGAGCACAGATAGTCTATTGTGTAGCTTGGTGCTTAATTACAAACAAATAATGTATTGTATAGTTTTGCCTGAATATCCAGAAACACTAGTCATGCAAAAATATCAGTCAGTTCGATTATTTTTGGGCTCACGCCATATCATGAGACTGTAAATGGCATACTTGCTCTCTTCTTATTCAGCCACTGTGTCAAGCTAGATGTTCAAATTATAGAACACACACAAGTGGAGCCCAATGTTTTTCTTGGTTACCAGTTTTACCCCAAATAGTAGTAATAAGTTACCTTTACCTTGTGTTTGGTGTTTTTCCTTCGTGTAACTGTAATATATTTTCCACAAAATAACAGAAACTGTTTGGGTGATATTTGTACTTTCGGACTTTACTTGAACTGGAGGCAGCCAGCATTTCAAATATTTTTTTTTAATTATATAAAAAAATCTGTGTTTATAGAATTAGTTTAAAAGATTTTTAAAAACAAATTTTGCAGAATTTGGTTATATCGCGGGTATTATGCGAGAAAAAAGATCAGACTTTGTTTTGGCTTTGCGTGGAGTGAGGAGAAGTGACCAACTGAGTGAGTAAGAGGCAACTGAGAGGAAGGTGTCTGACTCTGCCCGTTTTATGCTAAGTCGAGGGACTTCTCGAATATTCTAGCAAACTGAGCACGTGAGTGTTTCGTGATTACTGGGCGGAGCAGGTGAGCATGGAAATGAACAAAAGTGGTGCAATTCGCTACAATTATATCGAGAACGAATAACATATATGAACAACATATTTGGAATTTTACACCAATACAATACAGTCAATGTTTGAAGTTATCAAATATGCATTCATTTTACCTATTAAACTGTCCAACTAAACATAATTTCACAACATAAATCTATGGTACTGAGTTGATTGCATGGGATTTTACGCAGTGTTGATAAAATATTGAGATATTATAATAACTCAACATCTTGAAGCGATGGATAAATTTTGACTACATTTTTGAAATCAGCACCATCAAAGTACCTCGAATCACTTGATTCTAACATTATTTCAGATACTTGGTTGGTTGTGACACGTAACATCAAAGCTGCTTGGAATACAATTGTTCATTGTCTCCTGATCAGCAGGTTTCATCCTTATTCCAATAAGCAAATAATAAAGTGAAGAGATGGCGAAATGGGGTTTTATCTCATTACTTCTACAAACCTTATTGAAAATAATTATGAAACATTTTTTTCGGATTATTGGCCGTGTGGAAATTATACCTGACTATTTTAGGCTTAATTAGCAGATAGAAGTACTACAATAATAAGACTTGTTTGGTCAATCAGTTTATGCAACTTGTATTAGATTGCGGGCTTTGAATCTGTTGTTGATTTAAAATACCATTGCAGATAATAACGCGTGTTTTTATTTCCAATGTGATGGAGGAAGAATCAGTTTCTTTAAGTTTATCTTCTTCTTGTTACTTGTAAGTATTAAGACCAAATTTTTACCGAACAGTACAACATACACAATACCTGAACCTGTTATAATGTGTTTTGTGTATAATCACTACCATGTTTATTAATTTTTTTACTAGTTCCAATTAGAGTTCCTACTTTGGTCATTCCAATAAGGGACAGCAGACAACAAGCAACAATAAACGAACTTAATATAGCTGGAGAAGCTGGATTGTTAGCCTTACTAGATTTACAAGCTTTGGAGTTGCAGCTCAGAACCCTAGGTAAGGTACCAGAATCGTACAACTCAAAAGCTGATTTTTTATTGTTGTTGTTACAGGTTCTCCTGAAATAAGAGAGCTCTAGAAACTACTTTCGTTGCTTGCTTGATAATAAATTGTGACTGTTCCATATTATGCTTCATTTTTACGCGGAGTTGTTAAAATATTTCATTTTTCATAAAGCAAGAAATCAAATGAGACAGAAAAAATATTTTGCTAAACTTAATTAAATATTGAGCTATAATGATGAATCGATCTAGCTTCTCACAAAGGAAGAAATGATAGAGAAAACCAACGTTGTAATCTAAACTTATCAGAGATATATTTTATCATTATTAATTTTATTATTCAGAATTTCGCATAAAACTACAAAAAAATATCTATATGCACATAGCCGTCTTTAAGTTTTAATTGATAAACTAAAGAAAAGGTAACTAGACATCAGAAACTCAACTCCACAGTTGACTAGCTGCCTTCCTTCTGATCAATCAATTTAAAGTTATAGAAGGCTAGTGCAGATAACCCACGTTTTGCTTGAAATCCAACAAAACAAAGAAACAAGTCAGAGTTCGAGTTCTACTAATAGCTTCCTATTAAAAATGTGTTTCAAAATTTGAAACTTTATTTAAGTTCATAGATTTTTTTGTGTGAATGTGTGGGAAATTGTTTCCGGATCAGAAATAAAGAGTAAGGAAGTGTAATGCCAGGAACACAGACAATTAAGGTTGATGCATCTTCACTTTACTATTATAGAGGGCTAAGAAAAGCATTTAATATGAGCAGTAGACAGAAAAATGTTGTTGTTTTTTATTATAATAATAATTGGATTTTACGTTTTAGCATTACTTTCCGTATTCTTAACAGTACGTTATTTATTTTCTACAGGTATAATTGTGGAAACTGGCACATCTACTGCCTACCATCAGGCTTTCTTCGGTACAAAAGCTTTCACTCAGAAAGTAGGAGATAATGGATTTGTTGGTTTGAAGGCAACCGAAGAGTTGGCTAAAAAGTAAGAATAATTCAGTTTATTGACTTTGTCAGTATAACCCATTTTAAATCCTAACCATATTTAACGTAAAACTAAGCCTAATGGTGATTCTTGCGTTTATTTTTAAGTCGTTTTGCGCTAGTGATAGTTCGTTAAAAGTCTTCTGAACGACTTAAACTTGTTGACATCACCAGATTTTCAGATTGTCCGATTATTCAATTTTCACACATGTAACAGTTGTCCGGATACCCCCAATAGTATAGAAAGATATACAGATTGCTAAAAGGGCACGCGTTCTACTGAAAAAATAAAATAAAATATAAATTAAAGAAACCCTTTCATTAGATATCTGTTATGGGGATGGCTAACAGGAATATTAATCGTAAAGGTAGTAAATTTTAAACTCATCAGAGATAAACTGAAGCTAGTGGCATTTAGAGGTAAAAACTCTAAATCGTTTAGTATAAATGTCAAAAGAGGGCGCCAGAAACACAAAAAAGGAGTCTTTTTATGATTTTAAATAGTCTTATGTAAAATGTAATATTTGATTGCCGTTAATATTTTTAAAACTTTTGAAAAAGTTTTTTATAATACAAAACTTTAGAAAATAGCCTTTTATTTGATAGTATATTCTAAAGTTAAAAAGCATTTTCACGGAAACATCATAACATGACATAACGTTTTGGGACAACATGGTACCTAATGGTCCATCTCGGCTGTTCCATCATCTAAACTAAAACTATTAATAAATAAATTTATAAAAATCTTAAAGCCAGCCCTTATTATT